AAGTTGACATACATTTTTGGGAGACACAATTCAATCCATAACATGTGTTAACATTAGCTCTGGGGTTCCTGGTAGCCAAGGCAAAAAGGTAAACACAATAGGTTGTCCAAATCTCATTATTTAGTTCTGTTTTTAAAAGGAGAGGTCATAAATCTTCAAAAGAAACATAACTTCCTAGCCCTAAATCCTATGGAACAACTTGGCATGTGTTTAGGAGGTGGGGCTTGGGCGTCCAACACAGAGCTTAAGCTCTCCAAGCCTCAGCTGTCCCTCATTGCATGATAGTTGTGAGGATACCTAGAGACAATTCAGGTCAGTAATTGTCTGGCTTACAGTAAGACTCATTCAATCTGATCCCCTGCTATTATGGAGCAAGTCTTTGGATTTGTAGGTGGATCAGAAACATTTTTCAAAGGGGTATAATATTTCAACCCTTGCTGAGCTGAGAGCCAGTCACTTCAGCGGGGTGCATTGGCCCGGAGAGCCTCAGGAAGGAAACCGAGGCTTGGAAAAGTCTGGGCAGCGAGCTGCGGGAGAGAACAGATGTCCTATCCCTTTGGGCTCAGCTCCACTTCCCACAGGGCAGACCAGGGTCTGGGATGAGCAGGGAGCCCCGCTGTGATTGCAGCCTGACACAATATTTACAGAACCCTGTGATCTCTCATGGTCACGCCTGGTCACGTTTGAGTCACATTGGTCTGCAGTGTTTACGATTCCCCTGATGTGCAGCACTGAACACAGATTTAACCTGTGTGCCTTTGTGTGCTGTGCCCGCTAAACCATCTTCTTCAGAACAGGTTCTTGGGTATGTGGCCACAGGGGCTGATCAGGTGAATCAGAAGAGTCACAGAATACCATCTCATCCTGGTCTTTGTTTTCCTGTCTGTGAAATGGGCCTGGTCCTTGAGTGATTGACCATCAAGTGTCTCGCACAGGTTGTGATGGTTAAAGAACAATGCTGATGTAACTCCATAAGAGAGAAAAATGGGTAGTAAATGTGAATAGACATTTTACAAATAAGAAATGCAAGTGGCCATTCAATAACAAAAATATTTACCTTCACCAATAATTCGAGATATGCAGATTAAAACAATGAAATACCTTTTGAAATTTAAATTATTTATAATACCCCATGCTAGCAAGGATACAGAGAAATTGCCAGGAGTATACATTGATACAAGCTTTCTGAGGGCAATTTTGCAATATTATCAAAAGTTTACATTTTTGAAGAATCTTTGACCCCTTTCATCTTCAAAGCTTGTAATGACCAGTTGAGTCTTTCTCACATCACATCACTCTGACACTAACTCTTCTGCCTCCTGTTTCCACATTTAAGGACCCTGTAATTACATTTAAAAAAAAAATCAGTTGCCATCAAGTTGATTCCAACTCATGGTGTCCCCATGTGTGTCAGAGTAGAACTGTGCTCCATAGGATTTTTCAGTGGCTGATTTTTTTTGGGGGGGTAGATTGCCAGGCCTTTCTTCTGAGGCACCTCTGGGTGGGCTTGAACATCTAACTTTTCAGTTAGCAGCTGAGCACATTAACTTTTTGCATCACTCTGGGACTCTGTGAATACATGAGGCTCACCCAAATAATCCAGAATAATTTCCCTTTTTAAGGATAGTTGATTAATAGCCTTAATTCCATCTGCAACCTTAATTCCCCTTTGCCATGTAACATAACATATTCACAGACTCCATGGGTTATGATGTGGATATCTTTGGGAGGCCATTATTCTGCCTACCATACATAGATATTTTATTTCTAGGTAGTCATTCTTAAGAAAATAATTATGGATGTAGAGCAATAGGTAATAATGTATTGTAAGCTTTCATTAAAATAATGATGGGCAAGACTATTTAATGACATAGAAAGCAGGTTATATAATAGTTGGTACAATATAGTTCCACTTTAAAAATCTGTATGAGTATCTCTTCCCATCTATGTAGATATATAAATATAAACTAGAAAGATATACTCTAAAATTATTTTTAGCTCAATTCTTTTTCTTGTCTTATTACTTTTTCTAGGTCTTCAGTTAAAAATTGAATAAACAGAATGATTCTCTTCAATCCTTTTTATTAAACCAACTTTTTTTTTAATGTATTAAATGCCTACTGCATGTCAGGGATCCCTGGGAGTGTGATTTAGGTGATTTTCATTTTCTTAATTTTACTTATGTTTTCTAAAATCTCAACAACACACATATTATTTCTGTAATAAGAAAAGTAAACATTTTTAAATATGTGAGCTTTCTGTGTCTAGGGCAAATATTTATTCTCACTCAAGTTCAGACCCAGGACCCAGCCTCTGGAGCCTTCAATTAATGATCAGCTCCTTCTCCACAGAATCTTCCTTCGGAGAGT